GCTCTGCAGTGATACCTTGTTGTTTATCCATCCCAATCCCCAACTCCCAATCCTTCCCTCCCCCACCCCACTTCTCTGTGTGTCTGTTTCTATTTTGCAGATAAGTTCATTTGTGTTATACATTAGGTTCCACATATAAGTGACATCATATGGTATTGTCTTTGTGTAATTTTCTCCTCCTAGTATAATACTCTCTAGTTTCATCCATGTTGCTGCAAATGGCATTAATTCATTCTTTTTTATGGCTGAGTAATATTCCATTGTGTATATGTACCACACATTCTTCTGCTCACCTGTCGATGGATGCGTAGGTTGTTTCTGGGCTCCATCTGTATATTTTTTCCTGTTTCCTTTTTAAACCAGTGTAACAGGGGAAAATGATACCTTGTCACTCTTTAGTTTGCTTTTGTCTGACTGATCAGGCTGTTTGGGCTGTTTCTTTCTCAGGTTGCCTGCCTTCGGGGCAACGACTGTTCTCATGTTTTCCTTGCTGGTGTCCTGGGTGTCTTGCTCCTGCTGTGTGTTAACTCATTGTCAGTTTTAAATCCCGCCCGGGCTCTGTTCTGTGAATACAACATGGCCCATTGTGTCCTTTCTTGGGCAGAAATTCTTGTTTTGATGTGAGCAGATGATCCAGCTTCCTTCTGATGGTTTGTATCTAGTGTTGAGAAAACTTCCTTAACCCCAGATCACAAAGACAGCCCCCAACCTCTCCCTCTAACTTGGAGGTCCCACTTCCCACCCTGCCTGGAGCTGACTCTGTGTGTCCTGTTCAGAGAGGAATGGGCCTGGGTTTTTCTCTCTGCTGAACCCCAACTTTCCCATCACCACCCACAGGTCAACCATCCCTCCATACTAACTATATCTCCACGGTGCCTGAACTGCTGTCATCTTGCCTGGGGGTGTCTGAGCTCTCAGCTCACCCCATCACTGGTCCATCTGCCTCTCCTTGGGCCCAAACTGGACTCTCTGTTGCTCGGGCAGTGTGGTCAGTCTCACTGCCCTGCAGGGACCCCTAATTGTTGGCAATGAACTTGCTCCTAGTCCCTGAGCTCCCAGGGAACTCAATGAAATCCAGAGTGAAGAAGAAGACCTCATTGGCTGTCTGTTCTCCCTTCCTTCCCACCTCTAATGGAGGGGCCATCTCAGAGACCATCTGAAGCTGGCCTGTGGCTCACACCTGGGCATCCAACAAAGGCAGTTGTTCCTCGCCACCCCCCACCCAACGAATAACCTCAGTCTTCACAGTCCCCGGTCCCCGTACAGGAGGCCTCCATAAGGGATTATTCTCGGGCATGAGGAGCCATGCTTCTGGCCAGAAACGCTTTGCATACTCTCTCGGCCAACCTCAGGCCTCCCCACAGGCCTCCCCAGGATGCTGCCCTGCCCAGGTTCGGGACACAGCCAGGCACTGCCGTTCTGGAGGGAGCTCTGCGTCCCCAGCCCCGGGCCTCCTCTCAGGCCTCCTGTGAAGACACTTCCACACTCTTGCCCTTCCTTCTGCTCCCTCTCCTGCCCCGGGGCTCATTCTGCAGGAGGCTTTTGTCCCAGGGTCCCTGGCCTGGCTCCAGTGGGCTCCCTTCCAGGGGAAGATAGGGTTTTGCTTTCTGCCTTGTCTGTTGCTGTGATCAGCTCCTCCAGCCCCAGGTTGCTCAGCTCTTTCTTCAGCTGCGCTGAGTAACCGACAGGGCCGGTCACCACCCTCCCATCTTACAGATGAGGCAATTGAGGCTCAGAAGGTGCAGCGAGTCAATCGTGGGCCAGGTCTTACGAGGCTGAGGTCGGAGTTAGGACCTATGTGTAGCCAGCTTTGAGTTTCTCTCTGCGGCTGCTACATCCTCTTTGCTAAATTATGAGCACCAGGGGACAACTGTTTATTTTGGAAACTGGCATTTCAAGAAGCTTTTGTGGAATAGATGAAGACCACCCAAATGAGAATAGACCCAAAGGAGAACAAGCCAGTCTATTCCACGCTGGCTCCAGCAGGCGTTCTGCCACCGTCACCTGGGTTTGGCAGAGGCTCAGGCACAGCCTGGAGTGGCCAGAAAGGCCCGGGTGTGGTCTGATGGAGGCTGTTGACGTGCGAAGCGGGGTGGATCAGAAGCTGTGCCCATGTGCCCCGGTCAAGGAGCAGGTCTGATTTTCTCCGTGTGGCCCTGAACTAGACTTGGGGACAAATGTTAGGGAAGATGGTGGTCACTGACCACATTCTGGGCAACAGTGCAAAGGCTGTGGGCCGGCTTCTAGGCTGGTCACTGCAGAGGTTGTAGGGCAGACCTCTCTTGGCCATGTGTCTATGGCTTGCCCATTGTCCATCTGTGTGTCCAGCCTCCCAGGAGGTGCTGGTGACCGTGCCACATCTATTAGAGTTATCTTGCTGGACTCCATCACTGCATGTCCAAATGTCCTTTGTGAACCCTGACCTTTATGAAATCAGTCACTCAGTGGTTCCTGCATCAGCGGGACTTTCCCAGGAAGACGAACACACCGTCTCTTTAACCTGCAGAACTCTCGGCAGGGTGGGGGTATGGAGGCTGCTCGGGCTGCACGGTGGGTAGTGGAGTGGTGGGGGGGCAGGGTACCAGGAAGAGGCTGTCTCAGTTAACAATGGAGGGAGAGGCTTGAGCTGGGATTAGTGGAATCCAGGTCTCCCTAGTTGCCGTGCCTGGGGCTTGGCCAGGTCAAGTCTTGCCCCAGCAGCTAGGCAGCCTGCCTGGTGGAGGGCACATATTTCTTGAAGGAGGGGCTGGATCTCTGTGGGACCATAGCTAAAACCTTGACAGTGGGCCCACTGCCTGGCAAGGCCCGTGTACCCTGTGTCTCTCGTTTTGGGGGTGAATTTAGGGTGAGCAGTGTTCATTTACAGCCCCAGGCTCTTCAGGGGCCCTTCCCAGGTACAACCTCACCCCTCACCTGGGCAACCCAAGCCTGGGGTCAGGATCCGGCTCCCGAAACAGACTCCCCTCCACCTCCGACCGTGGCATCTGTCTGAGAGCCCTGCCCCCGACACATACAGCTAATGCTCCTGCCCTTGACGTTCAGGTACATCAGAGCCCAATCCATGAGTAGTGTAGTTTGCAGCAGGTGTGCTTTCCAAAGCGAAGGCCCCCACCATGTGCCGCTTCTCATGTTCAGTGGTGGAAATGACAATTGTGACCTGCCCTCCCATCACAGAGCAGCATCCATCCCTCTCTCACCACATCCTCCAAAGGGTCTCGCCTGTCTGTCCTCCCAGACCCTGCTCAGGCCACCACATCCCTGGGTCCCCAGCACTGCTGCCCAGCTGGCGTGAGCCTAAAGTCGGTGTCCAGCCTGCCCTCAGTCCCTGCACCCTCGGGTATGTCCACAGCCGGTGGGCGCCTCCAGACACACGAGGATGCCCCTTGGCCCTCTCCAGGAGGACGTCAGCATCCCTGGCTGTGCCCCAGGCTTGATGGCCCTTAACTCTGAAACTTGTTGAGCACTGGGGGTGAGACAGTGTGATCTGGTTTGAAGAGCCTGAGTTCCTTGCTTGTTGAGGCCACCCACTTTCCCCGTAAGAATTTCCTGCCTTCTGGGTAGACTCTCTCTGTTCTCTGGACCTCGCCCCTAGCCCCGCCCACCCTGGTCTGCTCTGGTCCCTCTCACCGCTGACCTTCCAGGTTTTGCGCTCTGACTTTGAGTGGCTATCGCCTGCAGTGCAGGAGACCCCGGTTCAATTCCTGGGTCGGGAAGTTCCGCTGGAGAAGGGATAGGCTACCCACTCCAGCATTCCTGGGCTTCCCTTGTGGCTCAGCTGGTAAAGAATCCACCTGCAATGCGGGAGACCTGTGTTCGGTCCCTGAATTAGGAAGATCCCCTGGAGAAGGGAAAGGCTACCCACTCCAATATTCTGGCCTGGAGAATTCCATGGACTGTATAGCCCATGGGGTTCCAAAAAGGCAGACACAATTGAGCGACTTTCACTTCACTCCTCTCTTCTTTGGACTCAGTGTTTTTCCTCTTAGCTGGTTTGGAGAGACCTTTCCCTTCCTAAATCCCCTTAATTTAATGGAGAAAACACGCTCCTTGTCTTCTGCTTCATCCTCCCCGTTTGTGACACCCCGCCACTGGGAGCCTCCACAAAGCCCCTTCTGGTCACCCTCTGGGGCCGAGCAGAGCAGCCTTGGGGTGGGTGGGGCTGGGCCTGAGTGCGGTGGGAGTGCACTGGGGCGTCCTTTGCTCTCACGGCCTCAGCCCTGCTGACTTTGCTGACCCATCCCCATAGTGCCCTGACCACCAGCTCCATTCAGGCTCAGGCCTCCTAGCAGGACCGCCAGGACCCTAGGGAGACAGCTCTGGGGCGTGACTTTTCATTCGCACGTGCCTGTCGCTTATCCCAGCCATGGCATGACACATGGTGGCCAAGTCTGGAAGGGTCCAAGGGGCAGCCGTGGGCTCTGCCCCGAGCCAGTCCTTCCCTCCCACTGTGGGGCCAGGGGGTGGTGGGGTTGACACGACCCCCGCCACTAGTCACAGGTGCTCACCCGGCTTCCCACTGTCCTTTCCTACCATCTGGCCTTGGGTGTGTTTTGTCTGATGACCTTGAACTTCAGAACAGGAGCCTGCCTGCTCCTCTGCAGCGTGTGGAGGAGGCAGTGCCCGGGCCAGGGTGAGTCCAGGTCTTGTCAGGTGCCCACCCTCCAGCAGCACAGGGAACCTTACAGACGACTCTGCGGGACACGGATGCGGTACCTGCCGCGTCCAGACCCGGATGCTTCCCGCGTGGGAACCTGTCTCCTGGGCACCTGGGGCTAGGCGGGGCCTTCCTGGACCTCCAGCAGGCCCAGCACAGCACCTTTCAGTCAGAAGACAGGGTGGAGGCATGGGGAGGAGAGGTCACGGCAGACCCATTGGGTTGTAAGCTCTCCGTCTGCTCACTGGTTAGAGGGAAGTTGTGACAGCCAGCTTGCAGAGCTCTTGTGAAGATGCTGAAGTCACACCCGGGCACCCTGTAACCCACTGTGATTTCCTTGACACAGACCTGCGGCCCCTGGATGTGCTGGCAGAGGCGGTCCCTCCCGATGGCTCTGCAGTTGGGGTCAGGGTGATGCAGGTCCAAGGTGCACGAGGACTCCAGCTCTCAGCCGCCGCGCCCCATGCCCTGAGCTTCCCTGCCTCGAGGATTTTCTTCAGATGTGACCTCTTCCCGGAGGAATTTTCCATCGTTGTGACCTTGAGAGTCCCCAGCCTCCCCCCTAAGGTCAGTGACTTCTGCTCTACCTGTAGAGCCTGTGGCTTTACCCCTGTGCCTTTGCGTGTTCCCCGTGCCAGAGTGTGCAGAGGGCACGACCCACCCATCAGGAGGTCAAGAGTGGCCGGCCTTGGTAGGTACTGAGGTGCCCATTGCTGTGAGTGTGCAGGCAGAGCCTGCGTGACCATTGCCAGGGGTCTGTATAGCAGCTGTAACTTTCCGGTGTGCTTAGCTGTCAAAGGCGAGGGATGATGCCGCAGGTTTTACTTTGACATCCTTTGGCAGGAAATGTGAACAAAATAACAAAACATACCCTTCTGGGATCTGCTTACCTGTGATTTGCAGTCCCATCCAGCCCAGATCCAGCTAACATCCCCATCCTCTCCTGCCAGGATGGGAGCACTCTGGAAGGTTCCGCAGGGTCCGGGAGAGGCACTTGCTAGGCATGCAACCCATCCTTCATGTTCCAAGTCAGGATCCTCCATCTTCTCTTAGCAGTGTCCATGCAGCCTCAGTTGTGTCCAACTCTTTGTGACTCCATGGACTGTAGCCCACCAGGCCCCTCTGCCCATGGAATTTTCCAGGGAAGAATATTGCAGTGGGTTGCCATTTCCTCCTCCAAGAGATCTTCCAACCTAGGGACTGAACCCACATCTCCTGTGTCTCCTGCATTGGCAAGTGGATGCTTTACCACTGAGCCACCTGGAAAGCCCCTTCCTTCCATAACCAAGACTCTCGCTGTGGGTTTTCTGTCAACTGTGATTCCATCCTGATACTCTCCAGGGACTTCTGCTCGCTCATCCTCTCTGCTTTCTTTCCGCACAATCTACCTGCAAACCTATCTGCTGAGTTTTCAGCTCCAGCCATTGCATTTTCAGTACTGTAATTTCCATTGTCTTCTATTTTATGTCATTTCAAGTTCTCAGGTAGAAGTCTTTGTCATGCCAGCTACTTTCTTGAACAAGATCCAATCCACGGGTCTCCCAGAAAATTGACTCCTTCTCTTTATTTCCTGTGATTCTCAGTAACTTTTTAAAAACAGGTTTGTTGAGCCATGATTCATATATCTGAGATGCACATGTCGGGGCGTTGGGTGCAGTCAACCTCCAAGCGCAACCCTCACCACAGCCTGTTGCAGCTCATGCCTGTTACCTGAGAAGGAAGCCCTTAGCCCATTGGCTCCCACCCTTCACCCCACACTCCCCACCCCCAGCCCTAGGCAGCAACCCATTGACTTTACATTATCTTTGGATTTGCCTGGACATTTCCTAGCACTGGAATCATATAATGTATGGTCTTTGTAACTGGCTTATGTAGTATGTGTCCAAGGTTCACCCATGTCATAGTGTGTATCAGTGCTTCACTCGTTTTTGTGGCCACACCGTAGATTACTGTGAGGATATACCACATTTTGATCACCCCATCCGTCATTGATGGACATTTGGCTTGTTGCTATCTTCTGGACATTATGAATAATGCTACTATAAACATTCACGTGCACGTTTTTGTATTGGCATGGATTTTCATCTCTCTTGGGTATATACTTAGTGGAGTTGATGGCTCTTATATCAATGGGTTAACATTTTAGAAACTACCAGACTGTCTCCCAAAGTCGCTGCACCATCTGACATCCCCATCAGCCCTGGATGAAGGTTGCGGTTTCTCCACATCCTCCCCAACCGTTGTTGGTATCTGACTTCTTTATTCTAGTGACCTTTGTGGGCATGAAGCAGTATCTCACTGTGGCTTTGATTTCATTCCCCTGATGAGTAGTGATGGTGTGTATTTTTTCATGTGCATACCAGCCATTTATGTCTCTTCTTTGGAGGAATGTCTATTCGGATTATTTGCCTTTTAAATTGTTTTATGAGAGTTCTTTATATATTCTAAATATAAGTTCCTTGTGCTATATAGGATTTTCAAATATTTTCCCCCATTCTATGGATTGTATTTTCACTTTCTTGACAGTCTCCTTTGAAGTACAAAATGTTTTAATTTTGATGAAGTCATATTTACCTATTTTTTTTCTTGCTTATACTTTTAAAGCCATATCTTAGAATCCAATGCCAGATCTGAGGACATGAAGATTTATCCCAAAGTTTCCTCTAAGAGCTTTATAGAATTAGCTTTTTAAAAACAATTTTTTTAAGAAACTTAAAAAAAAAAATTTGGTTGTGCTGAGTCTTCACTGCTAACACAGAGGCACACAATTATGTATTGATTAGTTGATGAAAATGAGACCAGAGGCCCACAGGAAAATCTTTGTTTCCCCTAGAAGCAAAGGTCCAGTGTTTGTAGTGACTTTCTACAACATAATAATAAGCATTAACTGTGGTTGGCTTTACACCTGCTATTTCACTTTTTCGTTCCTTACTTCACGTCTTTTCATAGTTGAGTTCCTCTTTGGGTTTCCTAGGTGGCTCAGTGGTAAAGAATCTGCCTGTCACTGCAGGAGAGGCAGGTGCAACCCCTTGGTCAGGAAGATCCCCTGGAGAAGGAAATGGCAACCAACTCCAGTATTCTTGTCTGGAAAATCACATGGACAGAGGAGCCTGGTGGTCTACAGTCCATGGGGTTGCAAAAGAGTTGGATGCCACTTTGTAACTAAACAACAACAACAAATCGTCCTTTACTGTTTTTCTTTTACTTTTAGTTAATATTTTCCAATATAGTATTCTATTTCTTTAATGACTTTTTACCCTGTTTTTAAAATTTTCCCTTAGTGTTTGCTCTAGGGCCTACCATATATTTATTTAAGTTATCAGAATCAACTTCTGATTTATACTGACTCAATTCCAGTGATGTATGAAAACATTGCTCCATTTTATATATAATTCTATTCCTTCCTATTTTTTCTGTGGTCTTGCTGTTACAATATTGCACCTTAAAATGTTAAAATCAAATGATGTGTGGTTATAATTACTACTTATTATACTTTTATGATTTTTTAAGAAGCTAGGGAAGAAAGGAAAGCAATATATATTTAAAGCTTGTTCTATGCTAACCTTTTTATCATTTCTGGTTCTCTTCACTTTTTCCTGTAGATCTGAGTCATCATCTGCTGTCATTTCCTTTGCCCAATATGGCTGTGCTGATATTGCCAAATATATTACATTTCTATGAACTGTATGCCTAACAATACATTGCATACATATTGTTTTATACAGTGCTTTATATGTATATTATTTTAAATTGTGCTAAATCAATTAAGAGAATAAGCAAGAAAAATGAATTTGTATTTTTCTTGTAATTACATAGTTACCTTTACTGGTGCTTTTTGTTTTTCTCCTGTGGATTAGATTTTCTGTCTGGTTACTGGCTTCTTTAGTATGTTTTATAAGATGAATCAACTAATAACAAACTCTCTGTATTTTTATCTGGGAATATATTTTTCCTCCATGTATGAAAAATGGCTTGTTGTATATAGGATTATTTTTTATAATTTATTTATTTTAATTGGAGGTTAATTGCTTTACAATATTGTAGTGGTTTTTGCCATACATTGACATGAATCAGCCATGGGTGTACATCTGTTCCCCATCCTGAACCCCCCCCACCTCCCTCCCCATCCCATCCCTCAGGGTCTTCCCAGTGCACCAGCCCTGAGCACCCTGTCTCCTGCATCGAACCTGGACTGGCGATCTGTTTCACGTGTGATAATATACATGTTTCAGTGCTATTCTCCCACATCATCCCGCCCTCGTCTTCTCCCACAGAGTCCAGTAGATTGTTCTACACATCTGTGTCTCCTTCGCTGTCCCGCTTATAGGGTTATCATTACCATCTTTCTAAATTCCATATATATGCATTAATATACTGTATTGGTGTTTTTCTTTCTGACTTATTTCACTCTGTATAATAGGCTGCACTTTCGTCCACCTCATTAGAACTGATTCAAATGTATTCTTTTTAATGTCTGAATAATATTTCATTGTGTATATGTACCACAGTTTTCTTATCCATTTGTCTGCTGATGGACATCTAGGTTGCCTCCATGTCCTGGCTATTATAAACAGTGCTGCGATCAACATTGGGTTACATGTGTCTCTTTCAATTCTGGTTTCCTTGGTGTGTATGCCCAGCAGTGGGATTGCTGGGTCATATGGCAGTTCTAGTTCCAGTTTTTTAAGGAATCTCCACACTGTTCTCCATAGTGGCTGTAAAACTAGTTTGCATTCCCACCAACAGTGTAAGAGGGTTCCCTTTTCTCCACACCCTTTCCAGGATTTATTGGTTTTAGATTTTTGGGTAGCAGCCATTCTGACTGTCGTGAGATGGTACCTCATTGTGGTTTTGATTTGCATTTCTCTGATAATGAGTGATGTTGAGCATCTTTTCATGTGTTTGTTAGCCATCTGTATGTCTTCCTTGGAGAAATGTCTGTTTAGTTCTTTGGCCCATTTTTTGATTGGGTCATTTATTTTTCTGGAATTGAGCTGCAGGAGTTGCTTGTATATTTTTGAGATTAATTCTTTGTCAGTTGCTTTGTTTGCTATTATTTTCTCCCATTCTGAAGGCTGTCGTTTCACCTTACTTATAGTTTCCTTTGTTGTACAAAAGCTTTTAAGTTTAATTAGGTCCCATTTGTTTATTTCCTTTACTCTGGGAGGTGGGTCATAGAGGATCCTGGTGTGATTTATGTCAGAGAGTGTATATAGGATTATTGATTGACAGTTTATACTTTGAGCAATTTGAGAATACGTGGTCCCATTGACTCGAGTCTCCATTGTTTCTGATGGGAAGCCAGCTGTAAGTCTTACTGGGATTCCCTTGTGAGTGACTCAGCATTTTTCTCCTTCTCCTTTTGAGATTTTCTCCATGTTTTTGACTTTCAGTGTATTTACTAGGATGTGTCTGTTTGTGACTCTTATGTGTGTATCTTATTTGGAATTTATTCAACCTCCTGGATGTGTAGGTTAAAGTTGTTCAATACATTTATGCAGTTTTAACCTAATATTTCTTTAAGGTAATATTTCTCCATTGTGGTCTGACTGCCATGCAGTCCTACAGTCGAGTCCCCAGCCCTACTCATCAGAGGTCAGTGAAGGCTGGAACTCAGAAGCCCACTGGCCCCTGACAAGTCTTCTATGGAATCTGGGGGCTACCTGCAGACAAGGGTGTCACCAAGGTCCTGCCCTTGCCCCTTCAGAGACTTGGAAGAACACAGTGGCTGAAAAATGTGGACACACAGGGTCATGGCCAGATGCCGTTGTGGTCACTAGATCACAGCTGTAGATGGAGTTCTGGAGACGCATTGTGCAGGTGTCTGTGCGCAAGACTCGTGGACAACCAGACCCTCCTACTGACCTTTACTATGCAGACTCCAGGACCTCATCCTGTGAACTCCTACCAGTGGAAGGGGTCCTTGAGGGAAGAGATATTGTTCTAATCAGCACCCAGGGCTGCAGGAGCCCCTGACATTGTCTGGACTGTGAGGAGAGGAGGAAGGTGTGAGCATTAAGACTCTTTTGTGCAGCTTCTATAAAAGCTCAGCTGCAATGCAGCAAAAGGCAATTGCTCCAGTGGTCATTCTCTCTGGGCTAGCCTGCATCTGCATCCGAGCCCTTCTCTGTGAGCCAGTCTCTGCCCCAGGAGGACACAGCCCCTCACTTCTGCCCCAGGGTGCACTCCTAGTAGACCCAGGTCCCCTCATCTCCCCCAACAACCACAGTATCAGCTCACAAAGTGCAGCCTGCTCTATCAGCTCACACCCTGCAGCCACGCTAGTGGGGCATGGCCAGACCTATCCACTCCTGAACATACCTCCCTTCTCTCAAAGCCCTGATTCTGGGATTGGCTCTCATCCCTTCCTTGGGACTAGGAGTTTTGTTTACAAGAGCAGCTGCTGTCCCCACTGGAGCAGAGGGCCATTGCTCTCAGAAAGTTACCTGGCTGCTACTGTCCTTGCAAAGGCATCAGAAGCTTTGTTGTTATCTTTCCTCTGGAGACAAACATGGGCAGGATATCCCTGCCTCCACTCAGGAGACTCACCAGCCAAAGGTATTTACAGAGTGACCAGTGCTGCCAAAACAGAGCATGACACTAAACAAAAACAAGGAAGGAAAGACTTCATCAGGCTGCTGCCAGACAACACACAACACAGAGGAGACGTATAAAGCTGGGGAGCTCTGGGCACTCACACACACACTCACTCACACTCACATCCTCACCCTCCTCTGGCCCCACAACCCCACCATGGCTTTCTCCAACCTGTCTGCTTGCTCCAGCGACCTGAGCTACAGCAGCCGGGTCTGCCTGCCCGGGTCCTGTGACTCCTGCACCGACTCCTCCTGGCAGGTGGACGACTGTCCAGAGAGCTGCTGCGAGGCCCCTTGCTGTGCCCCCAGCTGCTGCGCCCCGGCCCCCCGCCTGACCCTCCTCTGCGCCCCAGTGAGCTGCGAGTCCAGCCCCTGCTGCCAGCCAGCCTGCAGCAGCTCCTGCCTGCCCTTATGCTGCCAGACGTCTAGCTGCCAGCCCTCCTGCTGCACCTACTCCCCCTGCCTGCAGGCCTGCTGTGAGCCCGTCTGCTGCAGGCCTGTCTGCTGCACGTATGTCTGTTGCACACCTGTCTGCTGCAGGCCTGTCTGCTGCAGGCCCGTCTGCTGCAGGCCCGTCTGCTGCAGGCCCGCCTGCTGTGAGTCCTCCCCCTGCTCAGCCTCCTTGTGCTGCCAGCCCAACCCCTGCTCCTCGGTCAGTTGCAGACCCTCCTCCTCCGTGTCCCTGCTCTGCCGCCCTGTGTGCCGCCCCGCCTGCTGCGTGCCCGCCTCCTCCTGCCAGCCCAGCTGCTGCCGCCTCGCCTCCCGCGTGTCCCTGCTCTGCCAGCCCGCATGCTCCCGCCCTGCTTGCTGCCTCCCAACCTTGGCCCCGGAGCCCTGTTGCTGACCTGGCACATTGCCAACTCCTTCCATGGCCAACGCTGACTTTCACCTGAAACTTCTGTAGCCTTGAGCCCAGTCTGGGGTCTCCTTCTGCCCCAGAATTTCCTGTTAGCAGCCTGGGCTGGCTCCTGGTTCCCTCCAGGCCCTGAGATTCAGCCAGCATCCTGCTCTCCATCCTTGTTGGTCATGGATTTTGTCCTGACCTAGGTGAGGGGTCTGCCTGTTAACAAATAAAGTCACTGTCATGCCATCTCTGTGCCTGGAGTGCATATCTGGTCAAACCCTGGGAAAGACCTTTGTTGTGGACAGTGGGCTGGGCTGGTCTGGGTTAGAAACCTGGCCTTGAGCTGGGTTCAGAACAGTAACATCATCAGGCTCGGCTCCCCCACGCCCTGCTCCTCACTTCCTGGCTGTCCTGTGGCCATAGATCTACTGCAGCCTCCAGTCCAGAGCATCCTGCTCACCTGTAGACCGTGCATGACGTGAGTGATGGTGGGGAGAGGGGCACATGTTCAGGCCCCGGGCTTGCACACTAGGAACATGGGGCCTCACTAGGGACAAAGGAGACCCCGTTTAATAAACATCTGCCTTGAATACGTAAAGCTTACTACAGAAACAGCGTCAGACAGGCTGGTGCCAGCCGTTCTCTAGTGCCCTGGACATGAGTGTGAGTGCTTTCCTCTGTGTGCAGAGGTGTGGATGGCTGAGAGCCACATGCAGTGATGTTGGGAGCCTGTGTGAGTCAGGGTTCACCAGAGAAAGAACCAATAAGGCATGTGCACAAAGCTACTGAACAACAACAACAATCCAAAAGCTTAGCGTTTCAGTACACCTGATAATGATGAAGTATCAGAACCTCACCAGGGTCGCTGCCTGGGAAGGATCAGACTGTGTGTGACCAACTGAACCCATCGCTCTGGCTGTTTAGACTTTTCTTCCTCTTCTCACCTACACCTGCCCAATTCCCCACGTGCTTCTGTATGTTTCCTCACTTGGGCCTTTGTCTTCTCTCTTTCTGGTTTTTCTTTTTAAGATTTTTTTTAACCTGGACCATTTTTAAAGTCTTTATTGAATTTGTTCCCACGTTGCTTCTGTTTTATGATGTGGTTTTTCTGGCCGAAGGGCGTGTGGGGTCTTGGCTCCCTGACCAGGGACTGAACCCACACCCCATGCACTGGAAGGTGGATCCTTAACCCCTGGACCTCCAGGGGAGACCTGTCATTTGTCTTGTCTCTTTAAATGTTTCTCCAAGAGGGAAACATGCGTAGAGTGCTTTCTAAGCTCTTGCTTATCTGAAAATTCACTGCTGTTCTCTTTACTTGAGAAAGATACAATGGACTTCTCAGGTGGTACTAGTGGTAAAGAATTGGCCTGCCAGTGCAGGAGAAAGATGTACTAATTTGAAAATAGGAAAAATTACCTTAGTCCCACGTGTACCCCCAGAAGCTCTGTGTCTTTCACTGTTTGGTGGGAGAGGTCTGGGGTCCACCCAGTAATAGTTCATTTCCAATCAGACTGTCTGCCGTTTCTTCCTGCCTGGAGATGAAGCTGCCCTTCATTCAATTCATTTAAAAACTGCCAATTTGGAAAACTCAGCAGTGGCCACAGGACTGGGAAAGGTCAGTTTCCATTCCAGTCCCTAAGGAAGGCAATCCCAAAGAATGCTCCAACTACCACACAATTGCACTCATCTCACACACTAGCAGAGTGATGCTCAAAATTCTCCAAGCCAGGCTTCAACACTACGTGAACTGTGAACTACAAGATGTTCAAGCTGGTTTTAGAAAAGGCAGAGGAACCAGAGATCAAATTGCAAACATCCGCTGGATCATCAAAAAAGCAAAAGAGTTCCAGAAAAACATCGATTTCTGCTTTATTGACTATACCAAAGCCTTCAACTGTGTGGATCATAATAAACTGTGGAAAATTCTGAAAGATATGGGAATACCAGACCACTTGACCTGCCCCTTGAAAAAGCTGTATGCAGGTCAGGAAGCAACAGTTAAACCTGCACATGAAACAACAGACTGGTTCCAAACAGGAAAAGGAGTACATCAAGGCTGTATATCGTCACCATGCTTATTTAACTTATATGCAGAGTACATCATGAGAAAGGCTGGGCTGGAGGAAGTACAAGCTGGAATCAAGATTGCTGGGAGAAATATCAAGAACCTCAGATATGCAGATGACACACCACCCTTATGGCAGAAAGTGAAGGAGAACTAAAGAACCACTTGATGAAAGTGAAAGAGGAGAGTGAAAAAATTGTCTTAAAGCTCATCATTCAGAAAACAAAGATCATGGCATCTGGTCCCATCACGTCATGGCAGATAGATAGAAATAGTGGAAACAGTGACTGACTTTATTTTTGGGGGCTCCAAAATCACTGCAGATGGTGATAGCAGCCATGAAATTAAAAGACGCTTACTCCTTAGAAGAAACATTATGAACAACCTAGACAGCATATTAAAAAGCAGAGACATTACTGTGCCAACAAAAGTCTGTCTAGTCAAAGCTATGATTTTTCCAGTAGTTGTGTATGGATGTGAGAGTTGGACTATGAAGAAAGCTGAGTGCAGAAGAATTGATGCTATTGAACTGTGGTGTTGGAGAAGACTCTTGAGAGTCCCTTGGACTGCAAGGAGATCCAACCAGTCCATCCTAAAGGAAATCAGTCCTGAATGTTCATCAAAGGACTGATGCTGAAGCTGAAACTCTAATCCTTTGGCCTCCTGATGCGAAGAGCTGACTCATTTGAAAAGACCGTGATGCTGGCAAAGATTGAAGCCAGGTGGAGAAGGGGATGACAGAGGATGAGATGGTTGGATGGCATCACCGACTCAATGGACATGAGTTTGAGTAAACTCCAGGAGTTAGTGATGGACAGGGAGGCCTGGCGTGCTGTGGTCCATGGGATCGCAGTCGGACATGACTGAGCGACTGGACTGAACTATCTGAATGTATGTTTATGGTGGGCTCTAAAATTCCGATGCTCTTGAATTCATGAGTGCCTTAAGTCTAAACACATGCACCTTGGTGCACTCAGCTCAGAGTGGTTCATGTTCAGTCCTGTCTTACTGTTGTATCCTAGCTCTTCCTTCTTCCTTGTTAGTAACTGAGTGATCAGGTTTGGTGTAAGCGGAACACATGGTCTGTTTACTACATTTTCTCTCATCATATTTGAGGATTTATGCTTTACCTCTGTTGGGCTTCCCTTGTGGCTCAGCTGGTAAAGAATCTGCCTGCAATGCGGGAGACCTGGATTCGATCCCTGGGTTGGGAAGATCCCCTGAAGAAAGGAAAGGCTACCCACTCCAGTATTCTGGCCTGGAGAATTCCACGGACTGTATAATCTATGGGGTCGCCAAAAGTCAGACATGACTGAGCAAATTTCACTACACTCTGTTGGAGTAAGAAGTGGCACCTCACTCCAGTATTCTTGCTTGGAGAATCCCATGGACAGAGGAACCTGGCGGGCTACAGTCCATGGACTCACAAAGAGTCGGACACGACTGAGCCCCTGAGCAAGCATGCATACTTTACCTCTGTGGTTTGGAGGAACTAGCAGTGTCTGTGCTGAAAACTAGAGTTGATTTTCTGTGGTGTTAATTTTTCTCTTTCCCACCTCTGTTGTAAATTTTTAGCACAGCTGCCTGGAGGTAAATTGCCTTGGACCCATGCTTCCTTCTGTATCTAGCACTGATGTAGGCCTGGGGGAAGGCCTGGGTAAGAGCCTCGATCCTATGTACAGATGGCTGGCTTCCAGTCCCAGTCCTGATACTTTGGGCTGTGTGACCTGGAGATGGTTCCTTAAGTTCTCTGTGCCTGGGCTTCCTCATCTATTTACAGAAACTTCCTTGCTGAGTGGATGTGAAATCAAGTGACTTGGCAGGTGTAGAGCGTTCAGATCACCACCTGGCCTAGAACAGGTGCTCAGACAGTGTCATCTGACCCCACAGCTGTGGTCAGGGCCACCGTGATGACCACTGCCCAGATGTCACTGTCTTCCTCAGAGTCAGCCCTTGCTGACTTTCTGTTTCAGGCTCCCTGGGACCACATCTTCTTGTATCCACAAGGAAAACCAACTCTTGCCTGAGCTTTACTTTTGGGTGTTGCCTCGCATCCTCGAGTCTCTGCTGCTCACACGTGGGGTCTCCAGGAGGAGACCCTCCCTCTCTCTGAGTCTTTCTGGGCATCACCTTTGAGGAAGACAAACTCCAGCCAGAGGGGCAGGTTGCTCGGCTGAGGAGTATGGGGTGCACAGGGTGTGCTGTGAATAGTTGGGTTTGGGTGAAAGGTTGATGAACACGGCCCCTGACTCAGACACCTGTGAGCGCTACTCCCTGAAGAGATCTCCTAACAGATGCCACGTATAACCACGCTCCATTAACGCTCCTCTCAGGCACACTGGCTGGGCTGCAGGGGACTGGATTCCCCATTCACCATGCCTCCTACTGACAGAGCACCTGCTGGAGGTGGGGTGCCAGGATCTCCCAGCAGCCCCTGCTGAACATGACCCTTACCTGGTTCCATGGTCACATCCCCTGGTTGTGGTCACATCCCACTTGAATTTTACAGACAAGCACATGTCACATTACACCTAAATTTTAAAATGTATAAATGTCAAAATAATATTAAAAGTACTGTGCCTCAAACAGAGGAGAGCTGCGACGTCTAAATTCACCAATTTAGAGGCATGTTCACCTCTAAACCTCACTCAGCATTGTTCCTCTTGTTCAGTTGCTCAGTCGTGTCCCACTCTTCGTGACCCCATGGACTACAGCACAACAGGCTTCCCTGTCCTTCAACAGCTCCCAGAGCCTGCTCAAACTGATGTCCATTGAATCAGTGTTGCCATCTAACCAACTCGTCCACTGTTGTCCCCTTCTCCTCCTGCTTTAATCTTTCCCAGCATCAGGGTCTTTTTTAATGAGTCAGCTCTTTGAATTAGGTGGCCAAAGGACTGGAACTTCGGCTTCAGCATCAGTCCTTCCAATGACTATTCAGCGTTCATTTCCTTTAGGATCTTACCTCAGATATTCTCTATATCTTTTCTGGAGCCAAACAATGGAGAAATGGGAAAACATCCTGCAACATGGGATATTTATACTCACAGGTTTAATGAGTGAAAAAAATTGTGGAAACTACGCCAGCACTAATGAGGGGATCCTGCAGACAGCTCTCAACCCCAACAAGGAAGGGAGGGCCTGGGAGTCTCCTTTGGGATCAACACAAGCCAGGGGCCAGGTATAAAAGCCCTGTATCCCCAAGCACCTCACACACACAGCTCACACACTCACACACACTCAAACCATCCTCCAGCCCCACCGCCTCCACCATGGCCACCTCCACCCTGTCCATCTGCTCCAGCGACCTGAGCTACGACTGTCCAGAGAGCTGCTGCGAGCCCCGCTGCTGTGCCCCCAGCTGCTGCGCCCCGGCCCCCCGCCCGACCCTCCTCTGTGCCCCAGTGAGCTGCGAGTCCAGCCCCTGCTGCCAGCCCTCCTGCTGCACCTCCTCCCCCTGCCAGCAGGCCTGCTGTGAGCCTGTCTGCTGCAGGCCCGTCTGCTGCACACCCGTCTGTTGCACACCTGTGTGCTGTGAAGCCGCCCCCTGCTCAACCTCCTCATGTTGCCAGCAGTCTAGCTGCCAGCCCTCCTGCTGCACCTCCTCCCTCTGCCAGCAGGCCTGCTGTGAGCCCGTCTGCTGCAGGCCTGTCTGCTGCACGTATGTCTGTTGCACACCTGTCTGCTGCAGGCCCGTGTGCTGTGAGCCCGTCTGCTGCAGGCCCGTCTGCTGCAGGCCCGTCTGCTGCACGCCCGTCTGCTGCAGGCCCGCCTGCTGTGAGTCCTCCCCCTGCTCAGCCTCCTTGTGCTGCCAGCCCAACCCCTGCTCCTCGGTCAGTTGCAGACCCTCCTCCTCCGTGTCCCTGCTCTGCCGCCCTGTGTGCCGCCCCGCCTGCTGCGTGCCCGCCTCCTCCTGCCAGCCCAGCTGCTGCCGCCCCGCCTCCCGCGTGTCCCTGCTCTGCCGGCCCGCATGCTCCCGCCCTGCTTGCTACCTCCCAACCTTGGCCCCGGAGCCCTGTTGCTGACCTGGCACATTGCCAACTCCTTCCATGGCCAACGCTGACTTTCACCTGAAACTTCTGTAGCCTTGAGCCCAGTCTGGGGTCTCCTTCTGCCCCAGAATTTCCTGTTAGCAGCCTGGGCTGGCTCCTGGTTCCCTCCAGGCCCTGAGATTCAGCCAGCATCCTGCTCTCCATCCTTGTTGGTCATGATTTTGTCCTGACCTAGGTGAGGGGTCTGCCTGTTAACAAATAAAGTCACTGTCATGCCATCTCTGTGCCTGGAGTGCATATCTGGTCAAACCCTGGGAAAGACCTTTGTTGTGGACAGTGGGCTGGGCTGGGTTAGAAACCTGGCCTTGAGCTGCGCCCAGGACAGTAACATCATCAGGCTCGGCTCCCCCACTCCCTGCTCCTCACTGCCTGGGTATCCTGTGGCCATAGATCTACTGCAGCCTCCAGTCCAGAGCATCCTGCTCACCTGTAGACCCTGCATGAAGTGAGTGATGGAGGGGAGTGAGGCAGATGTTCAAGCCCCAGGCTTGCACACTGGGAACACGGGGCCTCACTAGGGACAAAGGAGACCCCATTTAATAAACATCTGCCTTGAATATGTAAAACTTACCAAAGAATTGATGCTTTTGAACTGTGGTGTTGGAAAGACTCTTGAGAGTCCCTTGGACACCAAGATCAAGCCTGAATATTCATTAGAAGGACTGATGCTAAAGCTGAAGCTCCAATTCTTTGGCCACCTGAGGCGAAGATGTCAGTCATTAGAAAAGACTCTAATGTTGGGAAAGATTCATGGCAAAAGAAGAAGCGGGTGGCAGAGGGTGAGATGCTTAGATCACATCATTGACTCAGTGGGTGTGAATTCGAGCGAACTCTGGGAGATAGTGGATGACAGAGGAGCCTGGCATGCTGCAGTCCATAGGGTCACAAAGAATTGGACTTCACTTACTGATTGACCAACAACAACAATCCAAAGCTTAGCGTCTCAGTACACCTGATAATGATGAAGTATCAGAACCTCACCAGGGTCGCTGCCTGGGAAGGATCAGACTGTGTGTGACCAACTGAACCCATCACTCTGGCTGTTTAGACTTTTCTTCCTCTTCTCACCTACACCTGCCCAATTCCCCACGTGCTCCTATATGTTTCCTCACTTGGGCCTTTGTCTTCTTTCTTTCTGGTTTTTCTTTCTAAGATTTTTTTAAACCTGGACCATTTTTAAAGTCTTTATTGAATTTGTTCCCACGTTGCTTCTTTTTTATGATTTGGTTTTTCTGGCTGAAGGGCTCCCTGGGGTGGGGTTGTGTGGGGTCGTGGCTCCCTGACCAGGGACCGAACCCACACCCCATGCACTGGAAGGTGGATCCTTAACCCCTGGACCTTCAGGGGAGGCCCCTCATTTGTCTTGTCTCTTTAAATGTTTCTCCAAGAGGGAAACATGCGTAGAGTGTTTTCCAAGCTCCTGTTTATGTGAAAATACACTGTCGTTCTCTTTACTTGAGAAGGATATAATGGGCTTCTCAGGTGGCACTAGCGGTAAAGAGTTGGCCTGCCAACGCAGGATAAAGATGTACTAATTTGAAAATAGGAAACGTCAGCTTCAGTCCCCAGTGTTTCCCTTGAAGCTCTGTGCCTTTCACTGTTTGGTGGGAAAGGTCGGGGGTCCGCCCGGTAATAGTTCATCTCCAGCCCAGACTGTAGCCCGATTTTTCCTGCCTGGAGATGGAGCTCCCTTCATTCAATTCATTTAAAAACTGCCAATTTGGAAAACTCAGCAGTGGCCACAGGACTGGAAAAGGTCAGTTTCCATTCCAGTCCCTAAGAAAGGCAATCCCAAAGAATGCTCCAACTACCACACAATCGCACTCATCTCACACACTAGCAAAGTAATGCTCAAAATTCTCCAAGCCAGGCTTCAACACTACGTGAACTGTGAACTACCAGATGTTCAAGCTGGTTTTAGAAAAGGCAGAGGAACAAGAGATCAAATTGCAAACATCCGCTGGATCATCAAAAAAGCAAGAGAGTTCCAGAAAAACATCGATTTCTGCTTTATTGACTATGCCAAAGCCTTCGACTGTGTGGATCATAATAAACTGTGGAAAATTCTGAAAGAGATGGGAATACCAGACCACCTGACCTGCCCCTTGAAAAAGCTGTATGCAGGTCAGGAAGCAACAGTTAAACCTGCACATGGAACAACAGACTGGTTCCAAATAGGAAAAGGAGTACATCAAGGCTGTATATTGTCACCATGCTTATTTAACTTATATGCAGAGTACATCATGAGAAAGGCTGGGCTGGCTGAAGGACAAGCTGGAATCAAGATTGCTGGGAGAAATATCAAGAACCTCAGATAAGCAGATGACACCACTCTTATGGCAAAAAGTGAAGAAGAACTAAGGAGACTCTTGATGAAAGTGAAAGAGGAGAGTGAAAAAATTGTCTTAAAGCTCATCATTCAGAAAACAAAGATCATGGCATCTGGTCCCATCACTTCATGGCATAAGGTTGAGAAAGTGTGGAAACAGTGGCTGACTTTATATTTTTGGGGGCTCCAAAATCACTGCAGATGGTGATAGCAGCCATGAAATTAAAAGATGCTTACTCCTTAAAAGAAACATTATGAACAACCTAGACAGCATATTAAAAAGCAGAGACATTACTGTGCCAACAAAGGCCTGTCTAGTCAAAGCTATGGTTTTTCCAGTAGTTGTGTATGGATGTGAGAGTTAGACTATGAGGAAAGCTGAGTGCAGAAGAATTGATGCTTTTGAACTGTGGTGTTGGAGAAGACTCTTGAGAGTCCCTTGGACTGCAAGGAGATCCAACCAGTCCATCCTAAAGGAAATCAGTCCTGAATGTTCATCAAAGGACTGATGCTGAAGCTGAAACTCCAATCCTTTGGCCACCTGATGCGAAGAGCTGACTCATTTGAGAAGACCCTGATGCTGGGAAAGATTGAAGGTGGGAGGAGAAGGGGACGACAGAGGAAGAGATGGTTAGATGGCATCTCTGACTCAATGGACATGAGTTTGAGTAAACTCCAGGAGTTAGTAATGGACAGGGAGGCCTGGCGTGCTGTGGTCCATGGGGTCGCAATCGGACATGACTGAGCGACTGGACTGAACTATCTGAATGTATGTTTATGGTGGGCTCTAAAATTCCGATGCTCTTGAATTCATGAGTACCTTAAGTCTAAACACATGCACCTTGGTGCACTCAGCTCAGAGTGGTTCATGTTCAGTCCTGTCTTACTGTTGTATCCTAGCTCTTCCTTCTTCCTTGTTAGTAACTGAGTGATCAGGTTTGGTGTAGGCGGAACACATGGTCTGTTTACTACATTTTCTCTCATCATATTTGAGGATTTATGCTTTACCTCTGTTGGGCTTCCCTTGTGGCTCAGCTGGTAAGGAATCTGCCTGCAATGCGGGAGACCTGGATTCGATCCCTGGGTTGGGAAGATCCCCTGAAGAAAGGAAAGGCTACCCACTCCAGTATTCTGGCCTGGAGAATTCCACGGACTGTATAATCTATGGGGTCGCCAAAAGTCAGACATGACTGAGCAAATTTCACTACACTCTGTTGGAGTAAGAAGTGGCACCTCACTCCAGTATTCTTGCTTGGAGAATCCCATGGACAGAGGAACCTGGCGGGCTACAGTCCATGGACTCACAAAGAGTCGGACATGACTGAGCCCCTGAGCAAGCATGCATACTTTACCTCTGTGGTTTGGAGGAACTAGCAGTGTCTGTGCTGAAAACTAGAGTTGATTTTCTGTGGTGTTAATTTTTCTCTTTCCCACCTCTGTTGTAAATTTTTAGCACAGCTGCCTGGAGGTAAATTGCCTTGGACACATGCTTCCTTCTGTATCTAGCACTGATGTAGGCCTGGGGGAAGGCCTGGGTAAGAGCCTCGATCCTATGTACAGACAGCTGGCTTCCAGTCCCAGTCCTGATACTTTGGGCTGTGTGACCTGGAGATGGTTCCTTAAGTTCTCTGTGCCTGGGCTTCCTCATCTATTTACAGAAACTTCCTTGCTGAGTGGATGTGAAATCAAGTGACTTGGCAGGTGTAGAGCGTTCAGATCACCACCTGGCCTAGAACAGGTGCTCAGACAGTGTCATCTGACCCCACAGCTGTGGTCAGGGCCACCGTGATGACCACTGCCCAGATGTCACTGTCTTCCTCAGAGTCAGCCCTTGCTGACTTTCTGTTTCAGGCTCCCTGGGACCACATCTTCTTGTATCCACAAGGAAAACCAACTCTTGCCTGAGCTTTACTTTGGGGTGTTGCCTCGCATCCTCGAGTCTCTGCTGCTCACACGTGGGGTCTCCAGGAGGAGACCCTCCCTCTCTCTGAGTCTTTCTGGGCATCAACTTTGAGGAAGACAAACTCGGCAAGAGGGGCAGGTTGCTCGGCTGAGAAGTGTGGGGTGCACAGGGTGTGCTGTGAGCAGTTGGGTTAGGGTGAAAGGTTGATGAGCTTGGCGTCTGATTCAGACATCTGTGAGCGTGGCTCGCTGAAGAGATCTCCTAACAGACTGCACGTGTGACCACGCTCCATTAACGCTCCTCTCAGGCACACTGGCTGGGCTGCAGGGGACTGGATTCCCTCTCACCATGCTTCCTGCTGGCAGAGCAGCTGCTTGAGGTGGGTCCCAGGATCTCCCAGCAGCCCCTGTTGAACATGACCCTCACCTCGTTCCACGGTCACATCCCCTGGCCCACTTGCATTTTACAGACATGCACATGTCACTTTACACCTAAATTTTAAGATGTGTAAAAGTGAAAATAATATTAAAAGTACTGTACCTCAAACAGTGGAGAGGGAAATGGCAACCAACTCCAGAATCCTTGCCTGGAAAATCCTTGCATGGACAGAGGAGCCTGTGGGCTGCAGCCCATGAGGTTGCAATGAGTCAGACATGACTGAGCGACTAACACAGACACCTCAAACAGGAGAGCTGGGACATCTAAATTCACCAATTAGAGACATGTTCACCTCTAAACCTCACTCAGCATTGTTCCTCTTGTTCAGTTGCTCAGTCATGTCCCACTCTTCGTGACCCCATGGACTACAGCACAACAGGCTTCCCTGTCCTTCAACAACTCCCAGAGCTTGCACAAACTCATGTCCATTGAGTCAGTGTTGCCATCTAACCAACTCGTCCGCTGTTGTCCCCTTCTCCTCCTGCTTTAATCTTTCCAAGCATCAGGGTCTTTTTTAATGAGTCAGCTCTTTGAATTAGGTGGCCAAAGGATTGGAGCTTCAGCTTCAGCATCAATCCTTCCAATGAGTATTCAGGGTTCATTTCCTTTAGGATCTTACCTCAGATATTCTCTATATCTTTTCTGGAGCCAAACAATGGAGAGATGGGAAAACATCCTGCAACATGGGATATTTACGCTCACAGGTTTAATGAGTGAAAACTATTGTGGAAACTACGCCAGCACTAATGAGGGGATCCTGCAGACAGCTCTCAACCCCAACAAGGAAGGGAGGGCCTGAGAGGCTCCTGTGGGGACAACACAAGCCAGGGGCCAAGTATAAAAGCCCTGCATCCCCAAGCACCTCACACACACAGCTCACACACTCACACACACTCAAACCATCCTCCAGCCCCACCGCCTCCACCATGGCCGCCTCCACCCTGTCTGTCTGCTCCAGCGACCTGAGCTACGACTGTCCAGAGAGCTGCTGCGAGCCCCGCTGCTGTGCCCCCAGCTGCTGCACCCCAGCCCCCCGCCTGACCCTCCTCTGTGCCCCAGTGAGCTGCGAGTCCAGCCCCTGCTGCCAGCCAGCCTGCAGCAGCTCCTACCCAGCCTCATGCTGCCAGCCGTCTAGCTGCCAGTCCTCCTGCTGCACCTCCTCCCCCTGCCAGCAGGCCTGCTGTGGGCCCGTCTGCTTCAGGCCCGTCTGCTGCACTCCTGTCTGCTGCAGGCCTGTCTGCTGCACACCTCTCTGCTGCACTCCTGTCTGCTGCAGGCCTGTCTGCTGCAGGCCCGTGTGCTGTGAGGCCTCCCCCTGCTCAGCCCCCTCGTCCTGCTGCAGACCCTCCTCCTCCGTGTCCCTGCTCTGCCGGCCCGTGTGCCGCCCCGCCTGCTGCGTGCCCGCCTCCTCCTGCCAGCCCAGCTGCTGCCGCCCGGCCTCCTCTGTGTCCCTGCTCTGCCGGCCCGCGTGCTCCCGCCCTGCTTGCTGCGTCCCTGCCTCAGAGCCCTGCTGCTAACCTGGCATGTGACCCCAGGCCAGCCAGGCTCAGGTCCCGCCTGTGACTTGATCCTCTGTCCTGACCTGTGCTGGGTGGCTGCCCTCACTAAGGAGAGCATCCCCAATGTCTCCACTGTCCTGAACAACTGACCTCTCACTCCTGCCCCAGGAACCCCGACCTCAAGGCTTCCTGGGGCTCGGGCCTCCCACGAGTCGCCTCCAGCTGTCTGTGCGTCACCTGCCCCCCTACCCATCCAGGTCCTCTCTCTGGGTCACTTGGCCTCAACTTCCAACCTGTCAGCCATCCCTCAAGCACTTGGATAAATAAATTCACTTCATCACCTGATCTGCTCCCTTCATGTGATTCTCTGGTGGGGTGGGTTTAGGGGTGGAAGGAAACACACGATTGTGACCTGACACTAGTCTCCTCCAGTGAGCGTATCTCTGGCAGTGAGTGAGTGTGTAAGTCACTCAGTCATGTCCGACTCTTTGAGACCCCCATGAACTGCAGCCCTCCAGGCTCCTCTGTCCACGCCATTCTCCAGGCAAGGATACTGGAGTGGGTTGCCATGCCCTTCTCAGGGGATCTTTCTGACTCAGGGATCGACCTGGATCTCCTGCAGGCAGGTTCTTCACCATCTGAGTCACAGGGGAACCCCTGGCAGTAAGTGACTGAGATCCCAAAGGGCAGGGGCCTGACTCCTCCGGGTAGGGTCCCCAGGTGGGGCTCCCACTTCTCCAGGAAGTCAGTGCCTGCTCTGGCCCTGGCCCGCGGCTCGTCCCTGCAGACCTCTCATGGTCTAGGGGTTTCTCAGGCTTCCTGGACTGTTCCTGCCCACTTGAAACATATGGGCCAACTGGCCTCTTGAGTCCGCTCCATGCGGGTGGCCCAAGGACCCCACATAACACAACGTGCATGTGGCTGGGGTCACCCCTTTTGGTCCACCAGTGGGTCTGCACTTTCAGCAGAAATGTGGTGGTGGGGGAGGCCTGCTCCAACCGTGTGAGGTGAGAGGGCCTGGATGACCTTCCCACCTGACTGATCCAGACAGCTAACAAGGTCAGGACACAAGGAGCTTGAGATGCTGGACATGAGGAGGACAGCACAGGCCCACCTGGGATGGAAAAGAAACAGAGTGGGCCTCACAGCAGCCCAGCTCACCACCTCAAGAGTAGTTCCAGGACCCAGGCCAGAAACCCAGGTGGAGCGCCATGGATCCCTCAGTTTTAGAGCTGGACTGCGATATGGGGGCAGTGTGGGGCACCTGGTGTCTGGAGCCAGGGTGCCAGAGAGAAGAGAGCTGTTCTGAGGAACTCCCCTGTCCACGGAGGATCTCCCTTTAGTATCCCCTAAGAAATGATAAGCAAACAGGTGTGAGGCTGAGCCTGGGAAAACTCATAAACTTAGTTGGACTGATTCACAGAGATGAAAGAGAGCCTTAAAAGGACCTGCTCCCACCTGCTTGTTGGAAATGTTCATAATTCTCAGGACATGGGTTGGCTCTTCCGAAGGATTGCCTCAACTCTAAGATAAAATAGTGGGAATGGAAGAGAAGACATTAGCACAGACCCTGCAGATATTAAAAGGGAATGCAATAAGCAATTAAGGTGATATGGACTCATTCCTCGAAGACACAAATAACCAAAATTCACTTAAATTTTAAATCACTCACTTAAATCCATGGCGCTCCATCTGGGTTTCTGGCCTGGGACCTGGAATCAGTCTTGAGGTGGGGAGCTGGGCAGCTGTGAGACCCCCTCTGTTTCTTTTCCCTCCCAGGTGGGCCTGTGCTGTCCTCCTCAAGTCCAGCATCTCAGCCTCCTTGTTTGAGATCTCCTGAATTGTCCTGTATCAACTTAATATATCTTGTTTTTTAGGTCAGTTTTAGGTTCAAAGCAAAACTGAGTGGGAAGTACAGAGTTCTTATGTATCCCCATCCTCACACATGCACAGCCTACCCCACCATCAGTATCTTGTGATTTGACGCATTTGTTACAAATGGGCTACATTCGTTATAATGGATAAACCTACACTGACACGTTAATACCACCCAAAGTCCATAGTTTACATTAGAGTTCACTCTTGCTGTTGCTAAGTTCTATGTGTTTTGATAAATGTATTATAACACCTATGGAACAGTGTTATAACACCTATAAACATTACGGAACAGGTTTCCTGCCTTAAAAATCCTCTGTGCTCCAGCTATTCATCTCTTCTTCCCTGGTAACCCCTGGCAACCACTGATCTTTTTACTGACTCCATAGTGTGTCTTTCCCAGAGTGTCATATCCTTGGAACCATCAGGAATGGAAACTCTTCAGATTGGTTTCTTTCACTTAGTAGTGTGCATTTAAGTTTCCTCCATGTTTCTTCATGCCTTGATAGCCTTTTAAAAATTTTTTTATTGAGGTAATATAGTCATAACACAAAGTTTACAACCTTAACCACTTTAAAGAGTACAGGTCAACGTTATTAAATACATACATAACCTTGTAACCATCACCATCATCCAAACACAGAACTCTTTATCTTGCAAAACAAACTCTATACACATTAAACGACAGTTCGCATACTTCCTTTCTCACAGCCCCTGGAAAGCATCATTCTACTTTTTATCTCTAAAGTACTTCATGTAAGTGAAACCTCAACATATTTGTCGTTTTGTGACTGGCTTATTTATCTTACCATAGTGTCCTCATGGTTTATCCATAATAGTGCCAGATTTACTTCCTTTTTAAGGATGGATAATACTCCATTCTATGTGTATACCACATTTTGCTTATCCATTCATCTATCAGTGAACACCTGAAATGGCTTCCACTTTTCAGCTATTGTGAAAATTGCTTCTATGAATGTGGTTTCCCAAATATCTCTTCAAGATTCTGCTTTCAATTCTTTTCAGCATGGACCCAGTAGAAATACTGGATCATACAGTAATTCTACTTTTAATTTATTGAGAAACCATCACACTGATTTCCACGTAGCTGTACCAGTTCACGTTCCCACCAACAGTATACAGTGTTCCAGTTTCTTCACAGTCTCACCAATATTTATGTTGTTTTTTTAAATAAATGGTCATTATACTAGGAGGTGTCAGGTGGCACCTCTCTGTAGTTTTGATTTGCATTTCTCTAATGATTAGTTATATTGAATATATTTTCATGTGCTTATTGGCCATTTGTGTATCTTCTTTGGAAAAATGTCTGTTTGTGCCCTTTGCTCATTTTTGAGTTAGGTTTTTGGTTGTTGTTATTGAGTTTTAGGAGTTCTCTATCCATTCTGGATATCAGTCTCTTATCAGATATATGATTTTCAAATGTTTTCTCACATTTCTTTGGGTTACCTTTGTTCTCTGTTGATACGACATTTTGATGAAAAATATTTAAAATTTTCGTGAAGTCCAGTTTTTCTATTTTCTTATGTTGACTGTGTCATTGGTGTCATATCCAGGAAATGACTGCCAAATTCAAGGGTGAAGGTTTGTCCCTTTTTTCTTCAAAGAGTTTTAGAGGTACAGGTCTTACATTTAGATTGAGGGTCCACTTTGAGTTAATTTTGTGTATGATGTTAGGTATGGATCTAACTTCATTCTTATGCATGTGAATATCCAATTTCCCTAGAACCATTTGTTGAAAAGACTGTCTTTTTCTCCAGTAAATGGACTTAATGCCCTTGTCAAAAATGATTTGACCTAATGTGTGAGGGTTTATTTGTGGATCCTGTATTCTCTTCCATTGATCTCTATGTCTGACTTTGTGCCAGGACCACTCTATTTGATTACTGTTGCTTTGTAGTGAGTTTTGAAATCAGGAAGCAGGATCCCTCTGGCTTTGTTCTTTTTCAGGGTTTTTGTTTTTTTGTTTTGTTTTGGGTTTTTTTTTTTTGGTTAGTCAGGGTCCCTTAAGATTCCATATGAATTTTAGAATGAGTGTTTTTTATTTCTGCAAAAAGTTATCCAGATGTTGATAGCAACTGCATTAAATATATAGATTGCTTTGGATAGTAATGATATCTTAACAATATTAAAGCTTCCAATCCAAAAATATGTGGTGGCTTACCATTTATTTATGTCTTCTTTCATTTCTTTCAACAATGATTTATAGTTTTCACTGTAAAAGTTTTGGATCTCCTTGATTAATTCCTAAGTATTTTACTTTTTTTTATGATATTCTAAATGGAATCATTTCTGTAATTTCCTTTTATGGTTATTCATTAGTAGTGTATAGAAATGCAACTAATTTTTTATATATTGACTTTGTATCCTGCTGTTTTGCTGAATTCACTTATGAGTGGTAATGGTTTTGTGTGTAGGTATGGAATTTTAAGATTTTGTACATATAAGGATTATGTACATATAACATCTTTGAACGGAGATTATTTTACTTCTTTTTCAACTTAAATGCCTTTTATTTTTTCTTTTGTCCAGCTGCTCTCCTAGAACTCCCAGGACTGCTGAATAGCAGTGGCAAAAGTGGGCAACCTTGCCTTGCTCCTGATCTTAAAAGAAAAGCTTTCAGTCTTTCAATGCTGAGTGTGATGTTTCCTGTGGGTATTTATTATTATTATTATTATTATTATTATTATTATTATGTTGAGGCAGTTTCCTTCTAGTTTCAGTTTGCTGAGTGTTTTTATCAAAAAAGGTGTTGAATTTTGTCAAGTGCTTTTTCTGCATCAATTGAGATGATTCTGTATTTCCTCCTCCATTCCACTAATGTGGTGTGTTATATTCATTGATTTTCATATCACTCCTTCCACCCTTTCATTCCGGCAGGAGATCCCCCTTGTTCATGGTGTACAATTC